CACAGAGGGTAAGGAACATCAAAGTGAGAAAAATTCGAGAGGGGAAAATGAAGAGTGATTCACAGATGTGAAAGAGTCAGCCATAAAGGTAGAGAAAAGGTAAGATGAGAACTGTGGATGTGGTTGAATATGACATACAGTGGGGTCATGGTAGTTAGAAGTCAGAAATCAACAGCCGTATGAGTATACGCTGCTCAGGGTGCACCACATGGGGGTAAGTCTACCGCACACCCCGCATCCTCTACCATAATTACTAATTAACTTAGCTTTCTATTATTTGCTTGATAAAGTTTTCCACCACCGCAAACCCATCATTCAGTTTTACCCATCCCTCTTTTTTCATTTTTTTCGACTTCTTAGAACAGAGTTTGGACAATATTTATTTATTTATTTTTTGTCGTATGAGTATATGTTGCCCAGTGTGCACCACGTAGAGGTAGGGCTATCCTACACCCAAGTTTGGACAATATTTTTTAGCTAATTATGATAGTTCTCCGGAAGGAGTTCCTCCTCCGCACGCTTCTTTCGAGATTTTTTTCTTTGGAATGGCTTCGTAGTCAGTTCCTTGAGTGACTTAACTCGAATGTCATAGCTGATTTCAATACTATTAGACTGATTTGTTGAACTTTTTGAGCGATATATTTCATAGGTTCATTTTAATAAATACGCAAAACGTGTGTGAGGAAACTAATGGAAGGTAAATAAAAAAAGTGAACACTGAGATCTGAACAAATTGACAAATTTCCTTAGCAAGTTCAATTAAATTGCGTTACTAAAACATAAATAAATCCATCGACTAACTCCAACAAAGAATTTCTATCCACATATGTCAATTCATTTGCCTATAAGTCGCGTCAATGTCGTCAGCTTTTCTTTAAAGTAAATTTTCCATATTTTGACCCTTTCATCACCTTTTTTCACTTTCTGGGGTATTAGGTGCGCACTGTCATATACCAACGGCGTGCGACTTAATTTCACAACAAATTTAATAGGTCGAAATTTGTTTATCGTCGGCGTATATAATTGTGTCCCTATTTAATTGTCACCTTGTTAGATCACTCCGTCATGTTAGCGTTAGAAGATTATAGAATTAGTCCCGTTTCCGGGTGTCTTCTTAGGCAACCCGTGAGTATTTTTACTTTTAAATTTATATCTTCGATGACTCGCCTTTATTTGAAAGCTTTCTTCCTTATAGACTACACCACCTCCAGCCTTAATTCCCTACAAAAAACTTTTGGAGCATTCACATCAACTCCTTCAGGAAGGAAAGATTCGGGAGGCAATTGAGAAGGTTTGCAGTTTGTTTCAGCTAACACTGTTTAACTGTCTTAATAGTTACCACAACTGGATACATCACAACTCTCCAAACACGAAGAAAAGCGTCTGGCGCATAAAATTCTGGCCTTCCTCGCTTCCCAATACGTCTGGCAGGATGGGGATAAAAATCCAGCTGAAGTGAGTCTTGTAGATTCGTCCTAAAAGCGTGTTTTGGAGACACTAAGTTTATTTGCACTATCTTGCAACTAATTTGTTCTGGGTATTATTACAAAAAAGAAGCTATCGCGAGACAGAGCGAAAGGTTAGATAGTATTGTATAAAGAAGTGTATTCGAAATACGAATTTATTAAAGAACACCCTATTAACAAGTCTGGTCAGGATAAAAAGCTGTAAAGTTCCAACCGAGCAAAAAAAGGATAGAAAAAGGTGAATCAAACCGAGTGGAATGAACCATTTTACAACAATAGCCACACTTCTGCATCCGTCAGGAAGAAATCACATTTGAATAGATCCCGCCTCATAGCTTTCCCCGGGCTCCCACATTGACCTGTGTGCCCAAAAGCCTTCGTAGGTTGTTTGTTCAACCTACTTCCAATCTCTCAGCAAAAACGTGTAGAGCAAGAAAACGAACTTAATCGAATTCTTATAAGATTTTAAGCTAACCTAGGCATTGATTTATGTAACTAGAATCGTAGGTAGACCGGAATGGTTAAGTAAGGTATTGTGGTTAGATAAACATCCATATCGTATTCTGGGTGTAATCCTATCACACCAGTCTAGTAAACATGGCTAGGTAGATTGTTATGAAGAACTATCCGAATCGATTATGGTACCATCGAGTGTCTCCATTATATCACAACGTTAATTGGTTTATCGACAACAAGTAAATTATTGAAAGATGCCAAATTGTCTTCGATTTGTTTATGCCACTACTAGTGATTCGAGTTGATTTGTTCTAACATCGGAATTCATTCTTTGAAGAGTATGATTAGCATTCGAAACATCTAGTTTTTCTTCATTTGTAGACGTATTTATTAATCTGGCACTATGGGCTAAAGTTGAAAAATAAACAATTCCATTGACTAGTATGCTCTATCTTATTGACAGTAAAAGTTAAGTGCGTGAAGAGACAACAGACACGTCTAGCATGCGGTAGGTCAACAGATCAATGGGTATTGGAGCACATCATATGTCGTGATTGGCCAATAACACTGATTCATTGGGCTCAGCTAAAGGTGTGGTTGAAGGTGAATATTTCAGAAGAGCAGCTCCAGAATGTTTGGCATCCATCTAATGGACTGTTGAAATGTAACACATCGTTTAATATTAGACAACAAGAGAAGACTTCTGGCTTCTTACATTGCATTAATTGTGAATTTTAAACGAATTTTGTAATGGGTTTAAGGGAATGTGTTTCCACTTTAGGATTTGCTATAAAGTCCTAACTATTTAAATTTATTAAAATAATGTTTAAGGACTTTCCCGGAAAGCCAATTTGAGTGCTGCGAGCATGAAAGATAGAAATGCAGATAATTCAAGTCTCTGTTTTAAATGAAAGCACGGAATTTCAGAATCACAAAGAACCCGAGCCAATAATAGCTATTGGATTATTAATTGCGTAATTATAATTTTCTTGAATAAGAACCAAATATAAAAGAAAAATGGCGAACCCATTGCCTATTGATTTCGTGTGTTCTTCGTTCAGTCTTAATGCCCATTTACCATTGGGGAACCAAATTGTAAAAATGACATTCATTAATGAACTTGAGGGCTTGGGGTGTGCGATAGGCTTACCTCCATGTGGTGCACCCTGGGCAACGTATACTCATACGGCAAAAAAGTCTATTAACTAGCAGTCGACTTCTGACTTCAAACTACCATCACCCCACTGTATGTCAAATTCGACTACTTCACAGTACTCACCTCACCTTTTTTCTACCTTTGTGTCTGTCTCTTTTTCATCTTTGAAGCACTCTTCTATTCCCCGCATCCCTCTTGACTTTTTCACTTTGATATTCCTTCCCCTCTGTAAAGCCTGAAGACAACTAAATGGCTAATGATAACTATCAAAACGCCTGCCATCGAAGTCAGGTAAAGAGCTAATGATAACTATCAAAACGCCTGCCATTTGATAAAAATAAATGAACTTAAGGGACTCAATTTACTGCTGAAACTTTCCTTACACAGTCTGAACGTCTAATTCGATATGACGTAAGAGTTAATTAACTGACCTTTTAGCATTGCCTATCTTTCAATATTAATTTCCAGATCAATTAATAGATTTATACGTAATCTTTTTTCAATTTTGTATATTTAATTTGTGTTCTCAATGGATGCAATTAGGTCCTCCCTGCTGTACTTGCAATGCCTCTAATGGAGGTTTCAATTGAATTGGGCTGTCAGCCAATTCTCGGGCATATTGATCTCGTGCTTTCAAACTGTTTTCCTGAGAAAACTCAGCTGCTTCGAAGGCAGTAAGTTTCCTCGTATGTGCTTGTGTACTTTGAATGTCAAAGGCGAATTATCATTTACATTGCACAATGGCAAAGCCGTGCTGTGCGGCGATAGACCCAGTCAACTAATTTATTTTGCTGCCTCTTTCTATTAATTTAGGGCGTTTTATACCGAATATCTTCCTTCGGCACAGGAAAATTGGTATCCCTTCATCGAAATTACTGCTGATATTGAGTTAACTTTCTGCGACATAGCTAAGGTAAGTTTGGAGACTATGTTGATTGCAAAAGTGGGATTTTCGATTGAAGGGTTAATGCCACGGAGAGACAGCAATCGTCCAGTAGTATTTAGCACTTTCCTTGACAAATTGTCATTTCTTGTGCGTTTTCTCGCCATTATTATTGAAAATAACTATTAACTTGATTGTGCAAATTAAGATGAAATACGATACACCGTTTGAGTTGAAGTGTAGCACGTTTTCCCTGTAACAATGAAAAGAAGTGCCTTGTCCTGTTTCTCCGGATGGGATATCGTCTGTATACTTTAAAAATGGTGCAATATTATTAATATTGTCGAGTCTTAGAAAACCAGTAGGACAAGTCGAGTGATCACGTTTATCCCTTAAATTGTTTAAAATTATCAGTTTTCGTCTTCGAAGTCGGAATCACTCTCAAGGTCAATCGAACTTTTGTTTATATTGTCAAAATTTAGGCCCCGCCTTTACATTGAAAAAGTGTCCGAGGCACCATTCTTTGGATTTTGTTACTGGAATATCGATCATCATTCCTTGCAATTTTTTGAGCTATTTAGTAAAATAACTTACTTTGGTGGGAATTACAAAAAAAATAGAGGGTCATTGAAAACTTCAACTTTATATTTCCTTGCAATTTCGAAAAATTGGTTATCTGAAAAATATCAACATCGTATATATCAATAATTTTATTATTTAAAATACATTTTCCAATTATTATCTTTCAGATTATGATGCATGTTATCAGCGGAATCAAAAGGAAGAACGTGGAATCAGTTGTTGATTGTCTTTTGAAAATGGCAGAACTGATGTCAATCATGAGTGAACAGCTTGCTCTCCTTTTGAGTAAGTACATTCTTTTCATCATCGGTGAAATAGCCTTTCCTTACCCCATTAAGGCAAACGTAAATTTTATCGATACCCCCGACTTAAAGAAGTAGGGAGGAAGATGAGATTGAATAGTTGGTAATCGATTTGACTAGCAAGGAGAAATCCAACCGCCATGTCTATGTTTGTCTTATAGATTTGTTTGCAACTTGAATTAATCCTTGAAAACCAGTAAACACTAGCTAATTAACGACTGCCAATAAAAAAATATAAACAACGATCATGTAGTCATCACGGTTGATGAGGCGTTTGTAGTATGAGTGATATGCTATGCCCCTGTCCAATTCAAACATAATAGCATTTCGTGGCATCAGTGCAGCGCCAAAGGTTAGAGGAATATTTAATTAATATACAAAACACGAAGCATAGTGATTCAAGCATTTGTTCTTAAAGAAGAATGCCTTCTTGACGATATCAACAAGGTGATTTGTACTGTTTCTTTCACTCTTCAGGGGAGCTCGATCCTAAGGCTTTCTATTGTGAAATGCGCCCATTCCTTTCGGGGTAAGTGGCAAAAAAATTCAAGCAGTAAAATGTGTTATCTCTATTTTTATCCCAAAATTTTCCGAAAAAAGTCATTCATCTACAGAGAAATTTGTTCCTTGTCGTATTGCATAGATACCTTGCCTTAAATTCCTATTTAATCAGAGAGTCTTTCATAAACAACAGTGATTTTTCGTAAATACGACAATTATTCGTAGCCATCACCAAACACTTTGGACTGCCTTACAAATCTCCTACCAGGAAAGTGCTTTAAAATGTGAACTAACACTTATTGAGGAGGGTTTATCTTTCCTCAAAAGTTATTACCATTTTCTTTAAGACAAGGCATTCAACATGATCTTGAACAATTCGTCTAGGTTATCAGTTCTGATATTTGGTCACCGAGTTTCCACCTGATAAAACAACATTTTTTCACCGCTGCTCTATAATGACTCAGCTCATCTGCCCTTGGCTCATTCCCCTATCTTCATATCCTGTAGTTAGCCCCTTTTCATTTAAAAGTACTCTTGTATGCGTCTTTGTTCAGGTGCCTCATGCAAAGTGTCCTTGCACTTTCCACTCACACGCAGAGACAGACACGTGTTTGTCAATCGATAACTTATTTGCCCATCTCCCCCTCATCTCTCTTTTCCTCACTCGAATTCTTGCCGTGATATATATACAGTAAACTTTGGTCGATACAGCTCTTTACGTCCCACAAGTTGGAACTGATTTTTTTAATGACCTTGGCTGTTAGCCATAGTTCTGGTTCACTGGTTCCTGCAAGTTGCTAACTCCTAAATTGGTGACGTCGGTCTTGCCAACTGGAAACCCAATGATCTGCAATCTTCTGCCCAACAATAACTTCAATTTTTATGGTATTTTAGGGAAGTAGCTTCACACTTACCGTCTTTAAGAAAATCATATTTAGTGAAGTAACTTCATTGAAACAAAACAGAATTGCAACTTCTTGTGAAAGTGAACTTTTACATCTCATCAATACCTAATGTCAGCTCGTTAAATTTACTTATAGGTGGTCACATGGCAAAATTTCCAAGGGCCTGGTCTATGAAGGAGTTCCAGATAGCGTTTTGACAGGTGGAGAATCGGGAAGTCTCAGTGGTGGTACAATACCCAAAAAACGCATCTACTTGGGCGCTAGCGCAGGCCAGTCCGTCAGTCTACAATCACTTGATGCCTTTCTTGGAATTAAGCACTTCGATGGTGAGTTTGTCTTGACTGAAACGTTCAACTTATATCACGCTTACTTTGTTATTAAAAATATGTTATAAACTTTGTTCTTTATTCCAGATACTGAGGAGTTCTTGGAGAATCTCCGATGTTACATGATAACTGAGCACCGAAGATTTATTGAGGATTTAGGGAAGCATGTTCAACTTCGAGATTTCAGTAGGCATTTAAAAAATTTCTTTCCAACTTACACCATTGTTTTAGTTGAAGTAGTTAATTCTGAAGAACTGAAGAAGGCCTACAATACCTGCATAAAGGCGATGCTTCACTTGAGACACGAACACGTCAACATTGTCACAAAGTAAGCTTGGAAGTGAAGTTGAAATGAAAGTGTATTTTAAAGTCAAAATTATTTAAAAGGAGCATTTTCCATTGAGGTTTATTCTTGAGCCATCGGCAGCGTTCACTGCGAATGTGGAAAGTTTGAAATCCCAAGGAACTGGAGGATCAGGTAGGCAATTTATAATTTGGAAATATTTAATAAAAAACACAGGATTATAAAATGGTTGGTAAATTATATTTTTAACAAACAACTAAGAGAAATCGAACTTATTACTGTTGTTAATTGAACAAAAAATTTTTTCTATTTTTTTTCTTATTTTAGCTCTAGACCAGTTCCTTAAACGCGTGAATGTAAGAACAGAGGCTGCCTTCTATGAAGTTTAAATAGTAGTAATCGAGGTGTTTTCGTGTTAAATCAAAATTCATACTTTATTTTAGTTAATATATTAAAATTGATCCTCTTTATTGACTTATACTTCCTCAATTTATCGACTTGTTAAGCCCTTGACCGAGAATGTTTGTTGCTCTGCTAAAAGGAATTCTCATCACATTTTCTTAATACGCTGGCTTCATCAGAATTAAACATTACATTATTACAGCATGTGCGTGAGTCGAGTCTGTTTTATATCTGACCTGATAAGTCATCGAAGTTACTAACTGACCTTAGGGGTTTTGTAACGTAACAGCCACACAAATTAGGAAGAGGAGATAGAAGATAGAGGAGTTATTCCGGGAGGCTTAATCATTTTAACAAAATTACAATAAACACGCGTCTTTACCACCTTGTTTATCTAGTCAGCATTCACTTGTATACCGATCATGTAGACGGACTCTCAAGTAAGTCACATTATGACAGTGTACAGACTCTGCCTTTCTGACCTATACAATTACAACAGGGAGCAGAGTTCTAGAGGTCTCTATAACCAAAGAGGTTGCCTTAAGTTGAGCTAGCTTTGCTATATCGGCTCAAGTTTATATAGAAAACAGTGAGTGATGGGAATATGCCATTAGTCAGGGAGGTAGGAAGGAAAGGCCAATGATTGGTCATTGCTAATGAATGACTCAATTTAGCGATAAGACAATACAAAAACAAAATTTGTTGAGATGAAAATAGGCGTCATACCACGATGACTAACTAGACATAAATGATCAGACGAAGAAATTCTACAACAGATACATTTCATGGTTAATTTCTCACGTACTTCGAAAGCAAAATGGTATTTGAAGGAATGTTTCTCACTTCTTGGTAGACACTATAATGACTTAGCATGTCCATATCTACTGCCTAAAATGTTTTGTCCATAAAATACCTGCAAGTCCGTTAATTATTTTTCTTTCAATGACTGGTAGCTGCAAGGTCAGATTTTAGATTAGTACATGAATTTGACGACGTTTTAAGTTTCACTTGAAGTCTAACCAATTCAAATTGAGCGTAGCATGTCTGAAGCCAGCTTATCTTAATTAAGACATTCTACTGCCTCATAACACTTACCCTTCCTCTGGTTCATTATGGACTTTGTTTCCCAATAATATATGTCTACCAAACCAAACTGACCTGTCTATGTATTTAGCCTCAATATCCATTGGCCCCAATCGATGTGATCGTGTAAAACTCCTTCTGAATTATTTCTGTAGGGTTGTACCTTTTGTGTATTTTTTCTTCTTTTTTTAAAATTAGCTCAGTCTCCCTACTTCAGTTAGAACAGTATTTAGATAACATAGGATTCTCAGATAACTTGGCAAATGGAAAGTGAAGGTCAAATAATCAAGTCTACTTTATTAGGGAAAATTTGACTTCTGTGAGCCGATAACTGGATGATTAAATGAATTTAACACGTTAGATCATGTATTTTCAACTTCTAAATATTAGTTCTATTAAGTTAAACGAATTAATTTGCATTACATTCACGAAGAACGCATTATATATACCGGCCTTTTTATACGAATAGGTGATTCCTGTTTTGATACATGAGTTGGACGTTTAGCACTGTAGTGTTGTCGGATTTTGTTAGGTGAAATTTCAAAATGAATCTGAGCATCCGTCACTTTAATCTTCGAGAAGAGCACATCAAATCAGTAAACGAAAGATTCACCTAATGACCAAAATGAAGCGATGAGGAAGGAAGTGAAAAGATCTCGAGTGGACTAAGACCTGTTTATTAGCTGGCGATAATCGAATTAGCTTCGAAGGCGAAACGAGGTGAGGACATAAAAAGGAATCGAAATAGAAAGGAATAAATGTCAACACTGAGGGAATGGAATGGGGCTATGATAAAGGGGGGCGAATAAAAGTATTCACGATTCAGCAAATAGTGATGCGAAAAGATGAATTTGACGATTAGAATACCCACCCAATAGCCATTCAATATACTGCCGTATATTCACTGATTTTCACGCAGAAGAGGTTGAAATAGAGTAAGTGAAGTACTTCATATTATCTTTAGATAGAGATTTTATTTTTTATCCGTTTTCATGGGCTTGAAATAAAAAGGAATAAATGGTTTCATATTTTATAACAAAAAACAGTACATAAAGATTTATTTTTGAATAAAAATGCCTTTCACCCATAAAGTCCGCGACCATAAGCTTTTAGCTATATTCTTGAGATCCGATTGTATCTCAATTAAGGTTTACCCTTTAATTACTGCTAAAAGCTTATAGTTTCGCATATTTTGCTTTGATATCGAGACTTAAGAAATTATATTTACCAGGTATACTGAAATAACAGATAACCTGTTTTAACTTTATGCTTGAAAAGATATAAGGTCAGACCATTCAGTAACTTAGTTTTAAATGCGTGTTAAATGCTTTAATATTTTAATAAATTGAACTGAAAAGGTAGTAAGCCCTTTCTAAACAATCGGGCACGGCACTGTGAAGATATTAATACGTTAGGCGAAAGCAAAATTTGCGACCAGAATAAAAGTGATCTAAGTTCACTCATCTCTCAATACGCATCCTTCTGCAATAGAGATAAATTCTCAAATAGAGCTTAAAGTTTTAAAAGATTCACCTAGTCAACATATTTTAAATGTATGCATGAATAAATTGTACGGAATAAAGTGTAGACTATACAGAAGACGGCGAAACTAACTTTGATAAAAAAATATTTGTTAAAATAAAAAAATTTTAAATACTCGATCTCATGTACGGCCTTATGACACAGGCTACTTTAAGAATATTTAAAATTAACTTGTAATTGCTAATAATAAAAAACCACTAAAATAAATAAAATAAAAAAATAAATTTTAAATAAATTGAATTTGGCATTTTGAAAAACATAAATCAATATTAAGTTGAAATATATCATATTGTTCTAAAAGATTGAAAAACAAAACCTTCTGTTTGATTGGTCCGATAATCTGTTTCGGTTTGCGGCGTATTCAATTCACCTTTCCGACATCTGCGGTTATAGAGTACTGAAGTCAATAAGCCATGGAAGCCGACGCCAAGCATGATTTCCAAGCGAACGCAGCAGATGAACTTCCTTTCTGCAAAAATTCTGTTCTGAAGGTTAGTTTGTTTTTTTCTTGCTAAATTCGAAAATCCAGCTTTATTTAATTAATTTTTTTCCATTACTACCTTTCCATTCGTCAGTGTAGTTTATTGCTTATTTAGTTATATATATAGCGGTTTCATATTTATTGCATGTCGTAATGAGATCGTTTTTGATTGAGGGAATTTAATTTTCTATTTTATGTATAAATTTGATTGCGCTAAATGAGTGACTCCTCTATGTAAACACGGATTATTATTTAGTTTTGTTTATTTGTTGATATATGGTTTTCAACTTTTTATTTCGATCTCTCTTCCTGTTGAATTTTAATTTTTTCTCTAGAACTATCGTCCTACATCTTCTAATCTCTGTTTTTTCCCTATTATATTTGACAAAGAGCTATCATCATATTGTTTGAACGTTGGCGTTTAATTAAGGAATGGAATATTTGATCAGGGAATGATAATTATTTAATTCTGTTTGAATAAATATTGGAATTGAATTGTTGCCGTAGCACTTGTCATTTATTCATTCATAGACTTTATTCTTCACCATCATTTGCATCTATATGTTACTCTTTTCAATCTTATGCTCTGTTTGGTGCCTTCTTAATTTGGTTTGTTGTTTTGGTAATGTTATGCGCTCTGGTTTGAGGTATAGATATTTCTCACCTTTAGCTATTGCTTATATCGCATTCCTTTTAGGTTCCTGTTAATTTACTTAATTCCTCTCCACTGTAATTCGATTATAACTGGAGTTAATTTCTTTTCCTATTTAATTTCACCATTAAATAAAATTCTCTAACCCATTAAGGATAAGTGTTCATTTCATATGGGTAAAAGACAGGAACGCGCCTTATGAAGGACTCATCTACCATTCCTTTTATTAACCAATTTCAAGCAGAATGATTACCCATTCACATCTTTAGGTGTTCACAAATGAGTGTTAACTCTCGTTCTCTTACTCGACAGATTTATATGCTAATTTCATTTATCTGGCGCACTATGATAGTTGCTAGTTCCTTTTTCATTCCTTATCATTTACTTAAGCCTAATGGGCTGTAATGATTGTTATCGCTTGCCATTCACAGGTACTATGATTGTATCGTATGAATCCAGTGGTAATTGGTGTGGTTCATAAAATACATCAATTCGTTACTTCTTCAAGTCGTATTAAGGAAAGCTCACTTTTACCGTTATTGAGATACTCGAAGATGAATCATAAATCCTCAAGTCCATGTTCGCTTTAAAACATTATGAGCTATGTGAACTTAAAGGATGCCTAATCAATTCTTTTAGGCCAACCTTAACCCACAATTTGCTAGAGCGGTGTTGAGGTTTATATCATACTACAAGTATTCGTATCTCAATATTACGTGTCCAGTGGAATATTAGTTTCTCAAATGATCATGTTCTATGACGCCGAACTTTAAATTAAGGTGACTTTTGCCGGTGGAATGTCTTGCAGTATTCCATGTTATTCCTTCTCGTGAATGATCGTTCTCTTATTTGCAAAGCCTAGTATAAGCTGTACTAGTTGAGTAGACGGGTGCATAACGTTAATGTCCTCATTTTGGAGAGTAGGGGTGTTTGAGTTGGAGATTGTTTATTGCTCAGTTCGAATTAACGAACATGTTTAAACGTTTCGTTTACCTGCCTGCAATTACTAAAATTTAAAATGCTTCTTAAAAGCCTTGCACATAGTATTGAAAAATACACCCACTACCTCTTCTTTAAAATTTAAAGCACTCCAAATTTAGGCATGTGAAGCCAGTAGCTATCGGTGAGGCACTGTTTACTACGTTACTATCCGAGTTGGTTTCCTGAAGGAGCATATAAGCCCACATTTCACTTTTGCTTTTTTGTGTTGGTGGCTATTTGTGGCCTTTAATTTTGTTTTGAGTCAAGAAAGAATTTCATTCCTGAGTAGTAAGTAACTACGGTTTTGAGACTTCCTTCTTCCTAATATCTGCTTCTAAAGCTAAAATAGTCCTTTCATATTTTTTTATGTGTATTTGAGATATTTTTCTGCGTTTGCTCGACTTAAAGGAGCCCTTTTCACCTCGAATCTGTCTCTTTGCTCATTCTTATATAAGCCTGCTAAAATCTCTTATCTTCCACATCATGTTTAAATTTACCTACTTACAAGACCAACTTGTCTCAGTCATAAGAACGTTTTCTTGCAAATGTCGTGCTTCTCAAATTAGCTCCCCCCCCCCTCCTTCTCCTTCTCCTCATTTGCTACATTATCCGCTACCTTGAGCTTAAATAAATAAACAACTCCTTGTATTTGCTTGCACGTTATCTCATTGAGGAATAGATCAATTTAGTGTTTCATGAACTGGTTTTTAAGCCTGCGCTAAAGGTAACTTAAAAAAAACTCCTTTAGTAAATCATTTTCAAACGTGGTAAATTAGAATTCTACAATCCCACTCTACTTGGACGTCGTATCTGCGATCTTGGATTTTGCATCGCAGTACCACCACCTATGTATAATGTGCAATTAATCAGTTCATCGGACCAAAACGTTTATGTAACCCTCAAATTAAAGTTGCCTAAGTGAGTAAATGCACAGATAACGGTATTCCGTGCGTTGAATTAATAGAAAATTGTAATTGTTTTAGTGAGACGACATTAGGATTCCTACCCACTATAGGAGGTGGGGTGTGGGAGACACCGATAAGAATATCTTTTCACTTTTAGTATTTTGTGGCTAGTGCGACAGTTTAAATAGGCAAAGCAAACTTGACAACAGGGGAAACGTCAATCTTACTCGAGTCGACCCATCATGTTGGTAGGCGGAGTAGTCGATGTAAAAAATTACAAACGCCTGAGAATATACAGAATTTTAGTAGGGATTTGTTCGTCAATCTATCAAAACTGGTTGTTGTTGCCACCTGCTGCTTTGACAATGTTGACTAATTCCACTTGTGTCATCAATTTATAAATGCTCCTAAGTCGGAGAGAGATATTTTGGTAAGAACGTCCTGTTGTGTTACGGCAATTCCCTAGCTATAAGGCCTCTACTGCTATAAAAGTGCTGCCGGAGTTAGAGCAAATAAAATTTGAATTGACCGGTAGACCGCGCCTCTCTGTCCGTCCCTCTATCCGGCACCTTTTCTCCCATTTAATGTCAACCTCGTTCCTTTCTTTACTTTTCTTTCTCCCTTCTTGGCCAGGGGTAGGGTACGACAGCACTATCACCACCATCGCCATCCGATCTGACATTTCGTATTTATGTGCGCAGTTGCACAATAGTCACTTGGCTTGCCTTGCTTACATTCCCTGTGCATGCGCTCATCTGTGTTTTACTATTTGCACAAATACTTGACCACAACATCAACGACGACGGCGCGACATACACACACTACCTGTGTATTTGGACCTCGATTTCTCTTCACTCTTTCTGTGTGTGTGTGTGTGTATGTATGTATGTATTTGCTTATCACGAATGTGTGTGCGTTTTTGCGCTACAATTTGGTCTTTTCTCTTTCCATCCATTTGGGACATTTTTTGATTAGTAGATTTGCTTACTTTATCGTTTTGAAAGATACAATTTGGATTGGGAGAAGAGTACAATTTGATGCTTTGATACATGGACCAAGTTGTATTTTGTTCTTGTATGGGGTCAATAGAATTGATAATTAGCAGAAAGTATGTAAGAATCTATAAAAAGAAAGGTTGTTATGATTATGCCTAGGACTGTGATGATAAGGTGATAAGATAAGATTTTTTTGAATTGTCACAGTTTCAGCAAATAGTATAGTAGACATGAATATTTGTAGTTGGCCAGTCAAATGCAACTCTTGAAAATTTACATGAAAAAAACAAATAGATGGCTTTCAAATGAATACACTTCATTCCTTTAAGCACCGTTGGCCTGTATTATATATATATATATGGTAAGTTCGGTTTTGAAGGTATGCATGAATGGGCTACTTTTTTTCTCCCATGAAGACCCACCTTAGCGGTTTTTTCGTAACGTTTGACGATCTCTTTCTCCAAATAACTTTAACCCTCGGGGTGTGTGTGTGTGTGTGTCAATTATTCCATCTTCAAAGCTGCAAGTGGAATTACTTGGAATATAATTAAATTTGCAGGTACTGCAAATCGAATTGATTTTGCGTATGTATCACTGAAGTACAAAGACCTCGCTTAAATATTCGGGAAATGTTCATTTATTAGTGTTGATGGCTATCTTCCTGACTTTTTTGTATGTTTCGCCAAAGTCCTTATTTGTGGCGACTTCCTATGCACCTTATCACTCATTAAAAAAATGTTCAAGGATGTATGAAGTTATCGGTTCACTTTAAAGTCGGGAAAATCGACTATTTTCTGTTCAAAACCTCGGGGCCACAGACTTCGCAATGAAGTTCCTAGAGGATTAAAGCATTGTAAGTTAAGTGGGAGGAGGGGGGGGGGGGGGGTTGGAAGGTAGCTTATGTGTAGTTCCTATTTCTAGTCTATGGGGAGCAGTTTTCCTTCCAGTAATTTATGAGCCTCAGCGGACTCCATAGCTTATTTATAGTGCAGTTGTCTTATTATAAACAAAATAAAACGCGTCGCACTTCCTATTCCTCCTCCGCGTAATTTTCACTCAATTTTCCCTAGTTGAATCGATTTTAATCTCCTCAGTAAAGCCACATTAAGAGTCCGACTAGGTTAGACTTAACATTACCGCCCCCCGCCCTCCATAACAAGTCTAATTATCTTAACGCTTGGTATGCTAAAACAGCTCTCCCCGAAATCAGAGGACTCAGGGTTGTGCTGGAATACTAGCGTATTGAATGATTGTAGATGAGAGAGAGAGAGATGTATTTACGCCTATTCGCCGTATGTGTATGTAAAATTGTGATTAAAAGCTGGTGTAAAGTCGATTCAAAGGCTTTGTGATGGAAGTGTGATCTCCAACCGAACGAGGGCTTAAAGTTGAGTATGTTTTGGACTGCTTAGTGGCCTTACTCATTTCTCATGTTCAATTTCCATTCATTCACACTCTGCATCCTTCTTTCCTACATGCCTGTGTAATCTCCCTTTTATGGCTAGTTAGGTCGGGGACCTACCTCCATCGCGCTTTGTGACTTACAGTAGCTGAGAGGTATTATCTGGTTTTGTGTTCATTCTGAGTCACTTCGCGATAATCAGAGAATGATTGCATATCTGAATCATCATTATTTTACTACTGACTGTTCTGCGTATAGACGTTTCAATTATTTCTGTTTTGACAGATTTTGAGCGTAGAGGACGATCCAAACTGGTATCTGGCAGAGCAGGATGGACGAAAGGGTCTAGTACCTTGTAACTACATCTCATTCCGTCCAAATCCCTGGTATATGCAAGCTTGTCGTCGAAACACCGCCGAGGAGTGCTTGCTGGAGACCGATCCACATACTGGTCTCCCAGTTCAACCCGATGGAGCTTTCGTCGTTCGCAGATCAGAATCTAATGGACCAGGTTTCAGCCTCTCTGTAAAGTGAGTTGTTTTCTCTTTTACTTGCTTACTTGTTCTCCATTTACAACTGTGACTGTAGTGAAGTTTTAAGCTCGAAGGTGATATGGAAGAAAAAATACGTGAGTAAGTCACTTGTCAAAAGTAGCTTATGTTTGCAGTACAGATAGTCATGTAAACTCCCAGGAAGAGAAGCAGTTTTAGAGCAATATTTTATGTTAATTATATATTCTGCTTAAGGGGTGGATGGTTTTCACTAGTGCACATTTGGAAGGATGGGGGAATTAATCGTTAGAGTCGCGACCGACGCCCATTTTCCCTTAGAAATTCCAGTCTTGGGATATTTATGGTCGTCAACTTCAATCGGAGTTAAATTGAATGACGCTGGAGGCTTGATTATCTTCGTCCCCACTCCACAAACTAGTTCCACAACAGGGAAATCATGCGTCTCTAATCCTATAACTTTACAAGTTTCTGTGTTGGCATCTCTCCCATCTATGTAGGCTTATGAAGATTTAATAGAAATAATTTGAGCTGTGTGGCTGGTATGAGCCAAAACAGTTTATCTTCACTCATAATACCTACATCTTTACTACTATCGCATTCTATGCGTTCAGATTATTTAAAGCGTATCAGCAGGTTAATTTGTAAGTACCTTTTTAAACATAAAAAATTAGTAATCTATTTTTTTTATTAAAAAAGAATATAGGTACGGGGTCTTAAATTACAATTGTACTCAAGCATTCACTGGTAGTCCACTCAATTGAGGGGGACCCCTTACTGAATCCCGGTTTTTACCCAGCAATGCTCTGCGATTTTAGAACGATCCGATCATGCATAATTTTGTCTTGGCCCATCACCACTTATTAAATCTAACAGTCGGTTTCAAAAATTAAGTGTTGTTGATGTTGGGGTTGGGGGGGGGGGGGGGGGGGTTGGAAAATGCAATTATTTGATTTATTTAAGAAATCACCTCCCCGTTGGCATGTTAGCCGTGAATTCGCGGGTAATTCTGTCTGTCATTTGATTCTTGCCATTGCTGATTATTTAGAACAAATAATCTCATTGATAATGCTCTTCCCAAACGATTTCTTATTCTGTGTTTATTCATCTGACTAAATTGACATCGCAGCATTCTGTCTATAAAACGACTGTGGGGTTAAATTCGAATATGTCTTTATAATTATCATATGACTCTCTCTCTCTCTCTCTGCCCACTAAACACTTTGCGAGTTTTTTATGGCGGTTAATGATATCCAATGAGGTGTAGCTATCTTCAAAGAATACTGTCGCCAATCTGTTTAATGGTCTTTTAATTGACTATAAAAGTAGCGTTTCTAAAGACCTTGTCTTTTCGGCTGAGTTTATGTAGTAGCTTGTCTTGACTATGGATCACTCAATGGAGGCGCTTGGTGTTACTTCCAGAGTTCTTGCTTCAAAATGGTAAGGAGGGTAATTGTGATGGGAATAGGGGAATTCTGTTATTGTTTCCCGCTTACACTTGTTTGTGTGTGTTTAACAAAACCATTTTTATTTGGATTTGCTCGCTTTTGGGAGAATTGCCTTAAAAGAAGATACCGAGAAACTCTCGTCTAGCACTTTTTAATGCACGAGGAGCGTTGATTGTTGCTCGTAAAACTGTAATATCTCTTGAGATTACTTTAACTTTATCCGAGTGAATGCTGCAGCGGATTGGTATATAACTTAGCCTTGACTAAACCTCGATATGCAATTGTTGCCAAAATTAGCTAAGCTACTTCAACGCTATTTGAGGACCTAGAGCGTGTGACGTTGAATGAGCTTACTGAGGTTGTGATGCTTATTCTGTCACTGGCACAGTTGACTATTGATTGATTGATTGGCTGAGAGGTCTCTGCTCTCGTGATCTCATTTGCTTTCTGACGCGATCAGTGGCATAGCCTCATGTTCCATAAGGCTCAACTGTATTAGTGTCGCGTGTACTTTATAATGCAGAAACTGTTTGTTTGGTAAGTTTATTTATTTATTCAAATGGCAGGCGTTTTGATAGCTATCATTAGCCATTTAGCTGATTTCGGGCTTCACAGAGAGGAGGAGGAGGAACATCGAAATGAGAAAAATTCGAGAGGGGGAACAGAAGAGTGATTCACAGATGTAAGAGACAGACAGACAGACACAAAGGCAGAGAAAAGGTAAGATGAGTGCTGTGGAAGGGGTCGAATATGACATACAGTGGGGTCATGGTATTATTTATAACAAATGGCAGGCGTTTTGATAGTCATCATTAGCCCTTTAGTTGACTTCGGGCTTCACAGAGGGGAGGAGGAACATCAAAGTGAGAAGAATTCAGGAGGGGGAATAGAAGGGTGTTTCAAAGATGTAAAAGAAACAGGCACAAAGTCTCAGAAAGGGTAAGATGAGTAGTGGTAGGGGTCGAATATGACATACAGTGGGGGGGATGGTTGTTTGAAGTGAGAAGTCAACTGCCGATCAATAGAGTTTTTGGCCGCATGAGTATACGTTGCCCAGGGTACACCACGAGGAGGTAAGTCTATCGCACACCCCAGTGGGGTCATGATAGTTTGAAGTCAGAAGTCAACTGCCAATGAATAGACATTTTTGTTGCCCAGGATGCACCACGCGGAGGTAAGTCTATCGCACATCCTTGTTTGGAAAGTAATGTAAAGTTGTCGTCGCGATTATGTTCTAGACTATCCTTACGGATTCGTTGACATTGACATCAGGTTCAGTATAAGTCTTTTTAAATGATTCTTTTTTGAAAAAATCTGCCTCTGTGGAACGAAAAAGTAAATCCTCCATTTCCATGAACTGAACCTTCATTCCCGGACTATTTTTCTCATTTATAGCTTTGCAATCAGTCGTGTAATGTGTACTTCCTTAATAAATAGCTATTTACTATAATATTTGATTTGTGTTCTGATATTTAGCTAATTTGCTGCTCAGGGCATGCAAAAATTCTGCCCTGCTTCCTACCAGATCGCACAAATTCACATTCAAGACTGCTGTTACCATTTATAGTAACCTTCAGACGTATATCCGCTAATCGATTCATCCTTGTCTCGTATTGCAGTGCAGTGTTGAAGAGGCGAATGATTTATGGCTATTTCGTATATTTGAAACCCATTAGTGCAATCATGTAACCCCCATTATGTGGGTATTACAGCTAATCAGGCTCGTGGCCCCATAATGAAGCCTTATTCAATCATTACACTTTAGATTCAGTTCGGCCCTTTTGGGGTGTTGTTGGTAGGCTCAGCTTGCGCTCAGTGATTCAATAGGCTTCACCGTGGGGTCTAACTGAGACCATCCTTGTTTTATCTAATGAACTTGGCATTATTCCATTGACCCCCTTAAAACTTGCTCCAAATTTAGTCTCCTGTTTTTCCTAAAACAGCAGGACTTCATGATGGTAAGTGGTGATGAGATAATTTTTATTGCCAATTCTGTATTTCTTCTCTTTCTATTACCATTACCCACAGTATTCCAAAAAAAGTATTTTAATTGTGGGAGTGGGTGAGGTCAGTTAATAGGCAGAAGGCAAAGTAACTGCTAGGTGTTAAGAATGGCATGAGGTTATCAAAGATTTTTGCTTTAGGTGCTGTTCGGATTCGGGAAGTTCATGTTCTAAGATTCTAATTTCATTATTCATTCTCCTGTTTGTGGCAGATGTCTGTCCTCTACTTTCACCACCCAAGAAGGTTCGATTTAGCCATGTAAATCCATTTCTTTTTCCCATGGTTGAGAGAGAGTACTACAGCATGATAATTGGCAAAGAATGGGGTTTGATTACAACTTGGTACAGCTCAAAGATGATTACCTGAAAGAAAATTGAAACGACGTCTATGGAGACGCTTACAATGCAATTAGTGACTATATGCAGTCTAACTATGGCCATAATCTGCCCTTGGACCACTAGATATGCTTTGCTATATGCTGTTTCCTAATTGCATTTCCCTTTTTGGAGAGTTGTTTCAATAGCTCTAATGACCGAATTCTAAATGGCTTTTCAAGTTTTTTTTAAAGAAATGGGGTGGGTTAGAGTATTCTGCCTCGAAACCATGGGGTTCGTGCACTTTATAAGGTCAACTGAATCCATAACCTGTAATCTTTTTTCGCTATCACACCTTTCCCTTTTTAACCTTAATGAGTAGACCTGGCAAACCTGGACTTCCATTCGTGTCTGTTGTTTTCACTTGTCTATTAATATTTCTAATTTTAATTAATGTGATTGGTAAGAAGGGGGGATAATTTTCCCAAAGCTCTAACGGGAAACGCCTTCTTTACCCCCGCCCCTCCTCCCATTGGATCATTATTAGTACGCCAGTTAGTGTACTGAGTTCCAAATTTGCAATCTTTAATCTCCCGCCTAATCACTTTATAAAATGGAGGGGGGGGGGGTAGGAATAATAATTAATTTGAATCAAGCTATTAATCATTGAAAAGTTTGTATCTAAGCCATTATTGCCGATCAAGATAATCTTTATCGCAAACATTTGTGCATATTTTTAACGTATCTCGCTATTTCGATTTGCGCATCATCACATGCATAAAGTTTTGAGGTCATAAGCGCGTGGTGGCACAGCTGCGTACTTCCTGTGTCTCTACCACCCCATCCCCCCCCCCCCACCACCACCACCACCTTCCCTCTATTTCGTTCTACACCGTTATTTTGGGGGTCACCAGCTCTACTAATTAACTACGAGTGGTTTTTTCTCTTAATAAGTTGGTTAACTTGCCTACTTTTAGTGTTTGTCTTTGCAATAAAATAGTTCAAAGAAATTATTGTCACCTATTTGGAGCTACGTTCAAAATCCCAGGGTGATCGTCTTGTTCAGCTTCATATCTTAGGCATGCACTTGAGATATGCATGATTGCTGAGTCTGATGAATTTGGCGAAAGGGGAACTCACTGTTACTCAAACTGCCGTGTCACAACATCAAAAAGTGCATGTCGGGGTGTGGGTTTTTGATATTGTAACATGCTTTTGTGGGTTGTAGTGCATGTGAAAAAAATGTATGTATTTGAAAA